CTAATGATTTACGTGACCAACATAACAGTAGAAATCACTCCTCAGTTTAACTTGGGCAACAAACCGATTGACGAACACGAGGGTATACAAGACACTAATGATTTACGTGACCAACATATCAGTAGAAATCACTCCTCAGTTTAACTTGGGCAACAAACCGATTGACGAACACGAGGGTATACAAGACACTAATGATTTACGTGACCAACATAACAGTAGAAATCACTCCTCAGTTTAACTTGGGCAACAAACCGATTGACGAACACGAGGGTATACAAGACACTAATGATTTACGTGACCAACATATCAGTAGAAATCACTCCTCAGTTTAACTTGGGCAACAAACCGATTGACGAACACGAGGGTATACAAGACACTAATGATTTACGTGACCAACATAACAGTAGAAATCACTCCTCAGTTTAACTTGGGCAACAAACCGATTGACGAACACGAGGGTATACAAGACACTAATGATTTACGTGACCAACATAACAGTAGAAATCACTCCTCAGTTTAACTTGGGCAACAAACCGATTGACGAACACGAGGGTATACAAGACACTAATGATTTCCGTGACCAACATATCAGTAGAAATCCCTGCCTCAGTTTAACTTGGGCAACAAACCGATTGACGAACACGAGGGTATACAAGACACTAATGATTTACGTGACCAACATAACAGTAGAAATCACTCCTCAGTTTAACTTGGGCAACAAACCGATTGACGAACACGAGGGTATACAAGACACTAATGATTTACGTGACCAACATATCAGTAGAAATCACTGCCTCAGTTTATGTTGGCCAAAAACTACTTAAAAAATATCATTTGTACAGCTTTCTTATGTGTATTATGTAGCTCATGAAACATTCGTATACTATGTTGGATAGTAAACCATATTCACTATAATACTAGTTTAAACATAGTCTAGAATATCTGTTATTCGTATAATCAGGATGAACAACGTTTCTAAGCATAATACGAAATCTCTGCCTCAACATTGAGACTATAAAGTATTGGGGAGGAAATGTCCATAACTTACCACAGTTAATTGGCCCAACCTCAAGGCGACTTGTTCGTGTGAATTACTAGGCCTAGGCTGTCATTTACAATTCAGGGGGTTTGATTTAGCACTCTTGATATTCTATTAATCAACTCTTCGTCATACAATAATTATATGTAAAATGAACAGCAACTCAAAAGTAAAATGATTAAGTAAATGTTCAAATTCGACATATAGCTTATTAGTAGACTGTTGAAAATATGAAATACCTCAATTCACCAACATTAATATTAAAGAGTTAATACGATTTTTGTGTAGCAGGTGTTCTCGTGCACAAATTGCTCCACTGTGTGTTTTTTGTAGGAATACAAACTCAATATAAAAATGATTCAATACAAAGATGTTCTTTGATGTCGTATTAGTTTTCCATCTTTGGAACATATAGCCTATATCATACTTAAAATATGGGCAATTTGCACAAATCGTTGAAGATTTTGTACATTTTTCTCCTATAATCATTAAAAATGCATCTTACATTTCTGCTATTTTATAATTATAAATATTCATTCGCCTATTGGGTCTGATGATGATTGGAGTGTCCAATTGAAATCGATCACCACACACCACTTACCATCTTTTTGTTTATTTACAGTCAAGACTGTCCACAAGTGAGTAACAGTATAAGCGTAAATATATGTTTTAAGTGTTATAAGACTTTTATTTACTTTCCGTAATTATAAATGTGTCAAATAGTGAAGATTGTAGCCATCGCACACCTTATAAATACAAATACCTCAAACTCTCATTTATTTTTTATTTGGGACATTTAAATTGAATCTGATTTCACAACGCTACGATCCAGGTGGAATCATTCTCCCGTTTTTTGCATGTTTTTGAAACGTAATACAATTATTAAAGAGAGTATGGTTGAGTTGTTTAGGGTTTACATTACCATCGTAAATTTGACATTCACTTCCTAATGTTGAAAGAGCGCTCCAAGTTCAAATATCACACGACACCACAATGTGTTGGGTTGCCTGTAATGACACTGATGAAATGAGCAGTCAAAATGTCAAACCAGTCATAGTGAACGTGCAACTGACGTTTGTTCTGATGCTATCATAGCGACAAAGGTAAATTGGTAAAAGTTCGTATGGTCCACCACCCCATCAATAACGTAGTAATTTTTACGGAATCAAACACGAATTCTGTTGGTAATACCTGAGGTAATACTCAATAGTTTAATAATATGAAATATCTTTTATTTGTATACTGTACTTATAAATTACAGGTTTTCTACCTCAACATTGAGACTATAAAGTATTGGGGAGGAAACATACCATTTTTGCCGTCCTATTAACCGAAATTTACGATTGAGGTGTCAGTGTTACGCTGATGATCTAGCGCAGTGACGAATGGTGACTAATAAATCATTTTCTTTAGGTCCTTGCCTCTCTCTGCCTTTTGATTGTTTATTGTAGTTTGTTTGGGTATAACAATTGAAATTGAATTTAAATGTGAATAGCTGATCTTTCAGTTGTACAGTCAGATTGTAAAAAAGAAACGATACAAGGGTTATGAAAATCTATCATCTATAGGCTACTTTTTTTACAACTGCAGCCCTGATTGAAATAGGTAAATAACTCTTTACACTGTAGAACTAATATCAACATATTTATTGTAAATTTGAAGTTCTATTCACTTAATAATAGTTGTAAAAAAAATTTTGAATGGGTGAATTGCAATTGGTGAATTGAATAGGTGGATTCACTTTGCCTCGGAAATAAGTGTCGGAGCCTATCAAACTGGGCAATTTTCTCACTGGTCCCCCGTGATATTAGGAAGCTAACACGCAGTAGCTTCTGAGAAACAATTATACCAGAATGTTCTGTAATGTATGATCACAGAGCATAGAATAAATACTGGTATAGCCGTAGGTATAGTAGTGGCGACTCTATATATTATTCTATGCTCTGTGTGTACGATCTCAAGTAGGAAATGATCAGTGGATTCTTGAGCCCAGTTCTGGATAGTGTCCAGATCTTGATTGCAGCCTCTTGATTCAGCAATCCTGCCGCATTGAATATCTAACTAGGGGTTTCTTCACCCTAGAGAAACATTGCCAAATAAATCACAGCCCAACAGATAAATCTACGAATGTTATATTACAGCTTGGAACGGGATTACAAAATTGTATGATTAATTTAGATATAGACTAGGTGGAACAAAGTTTTGTTTTAAACATGTCCAATCATCCTACAACCCTTTCGCAACCACCAATTTATGAAATTGTTATTTACACTTACTTTAGATAATATACCTGGTTAACTATGTAACCCATTAATGTTCTCCCTCTGATTATGATGAGAGATTTTGGTAATAGTTTTGGACATAATTAGTGGTTCTTGACTTAAATCTAGATATTTGCAATTGATTTTAAGAAAACAAACGATCAGTTCTAGTAAAAAGTTAACGTTGTTCATTATGCAATATTCTATCGCAGCATTATCGTTGAAAGTAGATGTAGATTTATAATTGGCTTTTGTTATCGAACCAGCAACATGACCAAATGTGGGTTTAAATTAGGAAATTACTACAGTGTTTTTAAGAGTAATTGCCCTTTTCAGTCAGTATAACCACCCTCTTTTTTGTTTGGATAACGTTAGTAACTTTATTATTTTTATTTGTTTTACAAATATGTTATCCTATAATCTAATATGAGCAATGTTTGCTTGTATGTATGTATGCTTGCTTGCACAAAGATCTCGAAAACGGCTCCGACGATTTTCTTCAAATTTTGTAAATAGTTTATTTCTGGCCTAAAAACGAGTTTACTGAAGTTAGAACTGCCAACAAAAATCTAATTACGTAGAAAAATGGAACTGAAAATCACATTTTTTTAACATTAGTCTTATGGGTTGCTAGGTAACCATGTTGGCTGAATTAAATAACAAGGAAAAAGTAAACAACAGACTTGAAGTTGTAGCATGTGTTCATAATAAGCCTACTACCCACAGTATACAAGCAAATTACAAATACAGTACAAAAGGAAAAACATCAGTTAGTTGTTACTATTAAGCAAAGATTATACTGAAGATTACTCGATACAGTACATTGTTTGTAGTAAAGGCTAGCAGTGCGGAGTGTAGGAAGTCCGCGGCATTTGGATTAATGTATCTAAAATACTAAAATGCTACGGGTATATTTCCCATCCTTATGGAACAGCTGAAGCCAATTTTATTGTTAGTTCTGTCCAGTTTTCTGTAGATGTCGTTTTTTGTTTACAATTTGTTTATATTATTTTAGGGTTAGTTTCTCATTATTTGTGTCTCACCGTTTGGTTATATAGCTAGGGGACGAGTTATTGTTTATGATTAGATAGTTTTATTTGGTTAAACGAGGGTTTAAATTACTGAAATAACAAGAAACAAATTGTAAACAAAACACGACATCCATGGAAAACCAGACAGAACTAACAATAAAATTGGCTTCAGCTGTTCAATAAGGATGGGAAATCTACTAAGAGACTATGTTTTATCATGTTCTATCTATGCTTAAATGCTAAGAGAAGGGTAAGATATTTATGTAGTATGAAATTATGGAAAAGTGGTATGTCAATTGTATGAGCTTCATGCAAGCGCATACATTGGTAACTATATCTCAACTCTAGAGGTAAAAAGTGTATTACTATATCACTAGCTCGAAAGAAGTCGATTAAATTTTAATCTTATTGTGGCCAACTTGGTTTAAAATCTACCTAGAGTCGACTCAATCCGATTGGATTGTATTATGTCATTATGTAATACGGCAAAACTAATACTGAAATGAAAATGGCAAAACTAATACTGAAATAATGTTGCATTATGCACATGTGGTTTAAAAAGTCACATGTTTGTGATTAACGTATCAACAATAGAGTTTGGTTTGTAAACATATTGCCTCAAAAGATTCGTTACTAGATGGAAATGTACTCAACAAAAAATCTGAAATCATGAAAAGAGGACGACCACCAAATAAAGGTTTGAAGAAGTTGGGGAATTTCTTTAAAAGGCACAAAGCTGATGAAGAACAGGTAAGCTATAAAATATATACCTTTATTAATTTAATTACATACATTAAGTTCGTGTGGTATGTCATTACTAAGTAGCTTACACCACGAATACAGAAATTGGAATAGAGTTGCTTATTTTATATTTCTCTATAGCTCATTGTGTATAAGGTACTTAAAAAGTTAGATGACAATTTTTATGATTGGTAGTTAAAAGTTATTAGGCTTAACTAATTAAAACTGATCCATTACTTGATTATATATGATATCAACGTTCTTCAAAGAACATAACATTCTTTTTTATTTAATTGCAAAGCTAATGGACACCCGGTTAGCCTAAACGTTATAGAGTCCCAACTAGGAGAAAATGTGAGTTTTTTTTTTATTTTGTAAACATCGTTATTAACATTAGTTACATATTTCATTTAGGATTGATTAAAACTATTCTATAACGGTAGGATAACTAAGGAATAAACTTATTTGTTTGAAAACAAAATTTGAGTTCTTAACTTTTGTCCAACTGATTGTCCAACTGGTCAATATGGTTAAATAAATATAATGATATCAGTTTCTCTAATAAATTTAAGTAGTTAGGCAAGCTCATGAGGAATTTAAGGTATGTTTTCAATACTTCAAAACCTGTGTAGATAAGAATGGCTTTGTAGCCTATGAGCTAGCATCCAGCAATTATCATTATTATTATTTGTAAAATCTAATATCATTCAGGAATTTGTTCTATTGAAGTAGCAAGAGTGTTTTAAGTAGAAAGTTTGTGCCTTTTTCACCCAAACAATAGAGAAGCAGGTCGTAAGTTGAATGTGACATGGTGTGGAGACCGTCTTGAGCATTGTCCTACACACAAATATCTTAGTGTCATACTTCGGTCCAAAAAAGCTTCATATCACGGACACGAGTTCTGGATGGATCACTCTCAAGCAATCGGGTGGCAAGGTGGGAGGCCAACCCTCGCATACCAGCCAGGGAGGAACTGGCTATGCCTTCATCACGGTGTGGAAGACTCTAGCTAGATCGAATCAGGGTCGAGGTACAGTACCAAAATGCAAGACAAACATGCAGAAATGGGTCTCTTACATCATCACATGACGAAGAAAACATCTTGTGTGCGTGTGGTGTTGTTCAGGATCCCGGCCATCTACTGATGTCCACGCCTAGACCAGTCTTGCACATTAGATGACCTTTTACAAGCGAATAACAAAGCCATATCGGTAGCTAATTTCTGGAAAAGCAAAGTCTGATTTCCGGACACGGAAAGTAAGTAGCCTAAGTAGCATGAGGAGGAAGAGGGTTAGTTACAATTTTTTAGGACCTTTATAGCTTAAATTTACTTTCATTGATAACACATTTTTTTATATTTTAGGTTGCAAAAGAACTTGAACCTGAACCTGAACCTGAAGGACCTGAGGGGTCTGGTGTATGTGTCTTAGAAGTTCAATCTGAACAAAATGTGAGTTGTTATTATCATCTCAACCGTATTATTAATGTAAAATTATTCAAAACAATTAATTAATTTAGTTTAAAAATATTATTTTGTGATAAATTAATAATACCAATAACCAATAAAGTAAGTAATCAGTCACCAATTTTACGATGATCGAAAAATAGCTTACACTTAGATACTGTACAATGAAAATTACCTTTCCAACAAGCATAAAAGACAAATATTTTAATTTCAGATCCCAAATGGAGTGCGCGTGTTAAATGATCAATCAGATAAAAATGTGAGTATGAGTATGATTAGATAGTTTTATTTGGTTAAACGAGGGTTTAAATTACTGAAATAACAAGAAACAAATTGTAAACAAAACACGACATCCATGGAAAACCAGACAGAACTAACAATAAAATTGGCTTCAGCTGTTCAATAAGGATGGGAATAAGGATGTTCGTAATTTTGCAGTACTATACCTGAACCGCATTGTTACGGTACTAATGAATAATTTAAAAAAATTGAACCGTTCATTTTGTGGTTAATTCATATTTGAAATAACATTTAATGTACTGTAGAAAATTATGAATTTAGTTCAAACAGAAAAATGTAAAAAATATATTCTTAACACGCAAAAGAATCTGTCATCATTGTTTTTATATGTGGTTAAAAATTGCATAACTCGATTTTTTGGACAGTGTAAATGGCTTTTGTACCGGTACCCAAAGACTGCCATAGAAAGATAACGTTTGCCCAAAGTAACCATTAATGGTAGATAGGAGAGAGGATACTCATATATTTTCATGAATTTTTACTGTGTAGTAAACAAATAGACCTCTGTTATTGTTTGTTGAAATTGTTATACATTTATGTTTATTTTCCATGATGATTAGTTATTCTGATTCTGGTATTGGAGTATGCCAAGAGTAAGATATAATGCAACAAGTGTAGACAGGAATTTTATATTCTAAAATTGGCCAGGTGATGCTTAAATTTTTACTCTCAGTAGACTAGGATACAAATTTTGCAGTATTACAAATTAACGTAACCTTAATACAGATTTTTTATTTGTACAGCTGATGACTTCCAATAAACCCATTAGATGTGCGAAGATAAGGGCTCTGGAGATAATTTCAGATGTAAGTGCTCAAATATGTCAGTCTATGGTGGAAGAAAGGGTAAATTATTTTGAGCAAATAAGAATATCAGAAGACAGCCAGGTTCGTGCCATTCGCCTTGAGGAACAGCGACAAAGAGACGCCAACCGCAGGGCTGCCGAGGAGGAGGACAAACGAGCACGACGCCTCGAAGAACAGCGGCAAAGAGATGTCAACCGCAGGGCTGCCGAGGAGGAGGACAAGCAAGCACGACGCCTGAAAGAACTGCGGCAAGCAGCCGCTATCCGTAGAGCCGCCGAGGACGAAGACGAGCGTGTTCGACGTCTGAAAGAACTGCGGCAAGCAGCCGCTATCCGCAGAGCCGCCGAGGACGAAGACGAGCGTGTTCGACGTCTGGAAGAACTGCGGCAAGCAGCCGCTATACGCAGAGCCTCCGAGAACGAAGACGAGCGTGTTCGACGTCTTGAAGAACAGAGGCAAATAGATGCCAACCGCAGGGATGCTGAAGTGGTTGACGAGCGTGCTCAACGCCTTCTAGAACAGCGTCGTCGTACAGCTGAAATTCGACAGAATTCTCAGCGTAGTCGACTTCCAACCTATAAAGCCGCTGCATCAAGTCTCGTAGAGTACAGCAATTTGGGAATGTATGACATTGCATGTGTTCATTGTGGTGCTGTTCATTTTTTGAAAGAGAGAGTGCAGAACAGAATTCACCCTAATTCGTTTGGTGACTGTTGCCTTCATGGTCGCATTGAACAAGCTGCGCCAGAGTTTCCCAATGAATTGGCATTGCTGTACACAAAACAACACAGACTAGCCAAACAGTTTCACGATAAAATTCGAAATATTTCTGCCTGTTTTGCTTTTTCTTCATTCAATGTTGCTGATGACAGGACTTTCAATAGTAAAGGTATTTATACATTTACTGCTGGTGGACAAGTGTATCACAAGTTAAATTTGGCGGCTCAGCCAGTCAGCAACAGTGAGGGTGATTTGGAAAGACCTAGATATGGCCAAATGTACTTCATTGACCCGGAAACAGCCGTTGCAGAACGTATGAATGAACCAATGAATCAAGGCATCAATCAAGAACTAATACAGATTTTAGAGGAGGTCATGAGAAGTCAAAACCCATTTTCACAGGCTTTTATGATGATGAGAGAGATAGTTGAGGAAAACAATCAACGTGCTGCAGCTCTTGGTGTCCAACCACCCCATGTCCACCTCCTGTTTGCTGAACGTGCAGGTAAAATAATACTGTTTTCTCTAATCACAATTATTTTGTATGTTATTTGTAGTTGCTACAAAAATATAAAATCAGAAATACAAAATAAACAGTAACTAAACATAAAAACTTATGCAAACTTATCAAGTAAGATGTCTCGTGTTACTCCTCCATAAATGTGATGACTCTGAAGGGAAATTTAATTAAAGGGCGCCACAACTAACGTTTTGTTGCAATCTCAGTACTAAACTCTGAAAAATTCCACATAAGCATAAGCAAACAAGCCGTAGCCATTTTTATTTCCTTTCTCTTCTCTTCTCCGTAGCTATTCTATATTACATGTAAGAATGACTACAACAGACTGTTAAAATAATAAAAACAAAACTTGGTAATCTCTGCTCTTTCAGATGGCACCAGTTTAATTTGTCTACGATCATTAATAAAGTAGCTTTGAACAATTAAGAGTGCGGCATTAATTTTGGGACATAATAAACTTTGTTATTAAGCGTAACGCAATTTATAAACTTGACATTTTTCTGAATGAGGTTTTTATAATCAATAATTTCATCAAAACAACTTTATTGAAAAGAGGATTTTAGTACATTTGTATTTTTGAAGAGTCGTCAAATACTATTATTCATTTACTGGATTAAATGAACACTCTACAATTAATTCAGTCTTTTTTTATTTTTATAAATGAATAATCTTTAAACTTTAGCAAGACTATACGGGTATGTTTCAAAAGTAAAGTTATGTATGAGAAAAATATGGAATGTACCTACATTTTGTGTCATTTTTCTCTTAGAACTAAATAATGATTAAAGTTAAGATTTTTTGTTTTTCATATCATTAATTTATGATGTTTACTTTTAGGTGATGATCCCAGGCGATTCAACTCACCAACTTATAATGAAGTTGCTGCTGTAATTACATTAAATGCAGACCAAAGCATCCCGGAAAATGAGATGGTTATTAAGGAGCGAGGAAAACAGTTAATAACGCTCAAGAACATTGACAGCCGAGTAGAACCATTCACCTACCCTCTCCTCTACCCAAAAGGAACTTTTGGGTTTACTGTAGGGCTTCCTCTTAAAACGCCTTATGCAAGCCGTGCACACATGACGAGGATGGAGTTGGCTCAATACAGGTTAGCCTTTCGTCCAGAACAAGCCAAGGCTCTTCCTCCTGAACCATTGCTAGAGGGATTAGATCTAAGGTCGATTGGATTTAATGCTCTCCACTTTGGTGGTAGACTGTTTCAACAGTACGTCGTGGACACATACATCCGTGTTGAACGTGATCGTATTCAGTGGATCAAATATAACCAAAAGAAACTTCAAGCTGATCAGTATGCAGGAGTAACACATTTTCTAAATGAATTGGCTGAAAAGAAAAATGCTACAGTTGCTGAAAAACTGATTTTACCATCATCTTTTCCCGGATCAACGAGATATTTCACTGAACACTTTGAAGACGCTATGGCAATTGTCCGAAGGTTTGGCTCTCCAGACTTTTTTATCACAATAACGTGCAGTCCAACATGGCCAGAATTAAAAGAAGCTGCATGTATTGAGCTCTCTGATGGTTCTAAACTACAACAGTTTGCCCAAGAAAGACCTGACATTGTGGCTAGGGTAGCCAAATTGAAATTTGACAGCATAGTTGAAGATATCAGTAAGAAACAGATTTTTGGGAAGTCTTCTGCTTTTGTTTACACTATAGAATTCCAAAAACGAGGATTACCCCACCTACATCTTCTTGTCATCATGGCAAATGAAGACAAACTCCGGTCTCCAGAGGAAGTAGACACTTTCATTTCGGCAGAAATTCCTAATGATGACCCAGTTCTAAGGGAGTTGGTCCTCAAATGGATGATTCACAATCCATGTGGCGAAGTTAATCCGTCTGCATCATGTATGGAGAATAAGGGTGGATCAGCTAAATGCCGCTTTGGATTCCCCAAAGCTCATCAAGAGTTTACGTCAATTGTTGACAACAAAAAACCGAATTATAAGAGACAGTATGACCCACAACTGGATCCAAATAACCCAGAATTTTCTCACGTCCATGCGGTGTACCGCAAAAACAGTGATGGACAAAAAGTTACACGGGACAATAGACATGTTGCTCCATACAATGGCTATTTACTGAAGAAATACATGTGTCACATAAATATCGAGTATGTTGGTAGTGTTAGAGCCGTTAAGTACCTCTATAAATACATTTATAAAGGACATGACTGCGCAAATGTAAAAATTGTTGAAAATGTGGCCCGAATAATGTATAATGAAGCAGAAACATTTGTTGAGGCACGTTATATTTCGCCCCCTGAAGCATGTTGGAGGCTGGCTGGAAATGAAATCCAAAGGAAAAGCCATTCGGTGCAACGTTTGGACATCCATCTAGAAGGTCAGTACCGTGTGGGAAACATGGAACAGACACAAGAAGATGTAGCGGACACTGGCCTGAAAGGGTCCACCTTAGAGGCGTACTTTAAACACAACTCTAAACTTCACATAGAAGAAGAGAATGGGAATGAAGTAATCTACTACTTCTACTGGCAGATGCCAGAAAAGTACAAATGGTTAGGCAAAACAAGTGAATGGGTGGTACGACAGCGAAGCTCAAAAACTATTGGAAGGATCCACACCGTGAACTTGGTGGCCCAACCTGAACTTTATCACTTGAGAATGCTCCTCTTTCATACCAAAGATGCCAAAAGTTTTGAAGACCTTAAATTTGTAAATGGGACTGCCTATTCCACTTATAAACAAGCATGCCTGGCAAAAGGCCTTACATATGATGACCAGCAATGGATTGATGGGCTGCGGGAATCCGCTTTGTCAAAAGATGCCGAGTGTCATGAGGACACTCTTTTGTCAAATCTTGATTCTCGGATCACCAGAAAACCCTAAACGTCTCTGGGATATGTTTAAGGACGAGTTGGCAGAAGATTTTCTTAGAGAAGCAGAGATTTCTGGAACCCCTCTAGAAGATGCTTACAACAGAGCATATAGAATCATAGCTTACAAGCTAAATACTGAAGCTACAGAAGGTAATAATCAACTTATAAATATTACTTATTACAAAACTTAAATTAAGTTTATTTTGGGTGTATACCCCTTCAAAATTTGTAATATATTTATTTATATTTTATTTTAAATGATAATATCTTTCTCTTAAACTGACAGCGAGTAGGTTAGCCATGCCAATGGTCGATGAATGTTGTCTATTGGTCTACCAAAGTTAAATATCAATCTTTAGTGAATTCCTTCAACATATCATACATAATACCATATCAATATTCAATTATTTTAATGTCTTTAAAAGTAATTTCAAAATAATTAACAAAGATGGTCTAATACAGTCCTTACTATTATTTATTAATCACAAATTTATAAAAAACAGATGATTTCAGAATCAAACCTTTGCAGATATTTTTATAACAGTCTTTAAAAACTAACCTAAAATATGTTAATTTAATATAAAAAAAGGGTTGGAAATTAGTGTGTGTTTTAAATAAGAGAGCACAAACCCCATTTAATCATATTATTCACTCATGAATAATACATTCATGACACACATTATTCTAACCATTGTTGTAAACAGTACTTTAATTTGGGAGATATCGACCTTGAAACATACATAATTGCGGATCTTCCAGCAAAATAAATCGTCTTAATAACAAACATTTTGAGCCTTTGGGTGGTGATTGATCACCTATAATTACTCCCAATTATTTACCCAAATTCTTTCAGCTTTATTAACTTATCGTTATTTGTGATGTGTTCCAAAAACTTTAATGACACTTTTTAGAAATTTTTAACACTTAAACGTGCTTATTTTAGGACGCAACTTCCGTTTTTGGGTAGAGAACTATGGAATGGATGATATTAACGACTTCGAGATGAATGAGGAGGTTTTTAACGTAGGGCAATCTCATGAAATTGGCCATCGCCTCTACAACAACCTCAATGATAAACAGAAGGAATTTGTTGATGCTGTCATCCAAACACTTGATGATGAGAGTTCAGGTACAGTACACTGTTAATAAACTGAGAAATTCAGGTGCGAGAATACCTAGGATACCACTAATAGCATTGAACATATGTTTTAGCAATTCCATTTAACCAATGTTAAATAATGTTTATTTTCGGGCCAAAAACGTCATTTGTTGATGTTTATGATCCATACCGGGTATTTTTCTAGTAATCGTGTAGGATACCAATAACCTTGAATAATAGGGAGGTTACTTCAATATTTAGAACAGTATGTTTTGAAACTATTTAAATAATGGTCAAGCCTTTTTTTATTTACAAGTAAATGACATAGTTAGTTATCAAAATACAGTTTCAGTTTTGAAATAAAACATATGGTTAACACATATTATTTGTTGCAAAAAAAAGAACAAAAAAAAACAGAATCCTACTGCATCAGCTTTTAGAAACCCGCAGACTTGGATAATATAAGCTAGGATAATAATGAAGTTAACTGTAAATTGTACATTTTTGTTTTTAATCAATGTCATCTGATTTAATTCATTTTTTAGCTTAAATTTTGTATACTATCTTTCTTTATACTATTCAAACAATGTCACCAGTTTTAAAATCCTGACAGTAACAAAACATAATGTTGTGATAGTACACATGAATTGATTTGTTTTCAGGACCAAAATGTTTCTTCCTTGATGGACCTGGAGGTACAGGGAAAACATTTGTCTACAATACATTGTACCACCTCTGCCGAAGTCGAAACATCATTGTTAAATGCATGGCATTTACAGGCATTGCATCCATACTTCTGCCAGAAGGACGCACAACCCACAAGACATTTGGTCTTAAAGTTCCTTTGACTAATGATTCAAAATCATCAATCAAACGTGGATCTTCAAAATTCAAGGAATTGGAAGCAGTCAACATGTTCATGATGGATGAAGCACCAATGCTTCCTAAATACGGTCTTGACTGCATGGACGAGCTCCTTCGTGATCTAAGTGACAGGAACTCCCCATTTGGCGGGAAAATAATGATTTTAGGAGGAGATTTTCGACAGTGTCTACCGGTCCAGCCAAGGGCAAATCGTACCGAACTTCTAGACCTTTCCATCAAGAAAAGTGTTCTCTGGAGGTACTTCAGGGTTTTCTCTCTGGAACAAAATATGAGAGTTGATGCGGAAGAGGAGTGCTTTGCTAGGTACCTACTGAAACTTGGAAATGGAGAGCTTGATACCAACGCTGATAGTGAAATTGAACTCCCTAATGACATCATCACTAATACTAATGACATTGTTAACGAGATCTATGGAGAATGTCTCTCCGACGGAAACTTTGAGGACATGAAGGATCGAGCAATTCTTGCACCCCTAAACAAGGACGTCGACACAATTAACAACACCGTTATCAATTTAATTCCTGGAACCGAGACCATTTATAAAAGTTACGATTCAATTAAAGATGAACCAGAAGGTGCCTTAAAGTTCCCCCCAGAATTCCTAAACTCTATCGAGATTTCAGACCTACCACCACACCAGCTCAGACTAAAAAGTAATACCATTATCATGCTCCTTCGTAACCTTGACGTCTCAGAGGGTCTGTGCAATGGCACTAGACTCATAGTTACAGCACTCTGTCCTAACATAATAAAAGCCAAGATCATCACTGGTGAACACTCTGGCCGAGACGTGCACATACCGAGAATCACCCTTGATTCATGCAAGTCTCAGCTATAGTCTGATTTTTACCGGAGTGCGGCTGGAGTTCAGACCTACCTGCGAGGGACCCGACTCACGCACGCACACTCACCACCGTCCTAATTGCCTGAAAGCCCCGATCCCCTATTCACTAAAGAAATATAATATCTGTTGTATGATACCTCAAAATTGCAATTCATTTGATGTTAGATATACAGTAAAATGGTTAGTGTTAATAAATTTGTTGTTTAATTCAATGAAAAATGAGTCCAAACACGAAATGATTATGACAAGTAGCTAGCTAATAAAAGCGTGTTAAAATATTCGTAGCTTTTACACTTTGTAAGCAAAATATATATTGTTTGGTATTATTTTACTAAGCATTTTGAGCTGAAGTCAAAAGCGTCACCAGATTTTATAACAAACGTAAAATTAAAAAATTGATAGTTTAATTTCCAGGAGCCAGTGATGACTCGCGCGGCAGGACAATGGTCCGCCCCACGTCCGTCCTAATCCCTTGCGTCTGTGTGTGTGAGGCCTGCATGTGTGTGAGTAGGGTCGACCCTTCAGCCAGCCGCTTTCCGTCAGCAATCACACTATAGGGTGTTCACTACAAAGACACCAATTCCCTATTCGGCCAGCCTTTGCGATGACAATACATAAATCGCAAGGGCAAACATTTAAATATGTCGGCGTCATGCTACAAACGCCTGTATTCATGCATGGCATGCTATACGTTGCATTTTCAAGGGTAAAGCGTAGAAGTGCATTGAAAGTGGTGGTACCGCCAGAAACAGGTGGTCGCACACGCAACGTAGTGTGGACCGAAGTTTTTAATTGATGTGGTTCGTGCATTTGAGAAAAGACTTTTGTTATATTATGAAATTCTATTTTTCTTGCACTATTTTTTATTTGTTTTGTTGAAAACATTTTCTTTGATAGTTAGTTTTATTGAAGGTATGCATTGTACTGTATCAGATGCAGCAAAGTTCTTTACTTGCTCTGCTCTTTAGGGATACTTTAAATGTATTGAAATATTTTGGAATATTTCATTTTTATATAATAATCTTATATTCTTATGTGAGCAATGTTTGCTTGCAGATCAAAAACAGCAAGGTCAAAGGTCGGGGTACCGCAGGGTCCGGTTATGGGCCACATTTGTTTTTAATTTTAATTAATGACATTAGTTTCAATTTAGATTGTAAGTCAACAATTTATGCTGATGACACCTCTTTACTTGTTAGCCATAGAGATTTAGATTGTATGGAAAATGTTGCCAATTCTGTTTTTAAAGATGCTGAAGAATGGTTTACAGTAAATGGATTGTTTTTAAATTCTAAAAAACACAGAGAATATTGGTGACCTTGAAAAAGAATCATGAAAACCATCAATTTGTTCACGATAATGAAAATTTTGTAACATTACTTGGTATAAAAGTAGACTGTAAGCGGTCATAGTCTGACCATATTAATTTTGTAAATAATAAATTGCCCAGAGTTGTACATTTGTTAATAAATCTAAAAAGACATGTTTCCAGTAAATACTTGAAAATGGCATATTTTGCTTTTTATGAAAGTGTTATCTGGTGGATAATCTGAAGTAACGGAGTTGGAATTAAAAAAAATTTAATCAAACAAAAAAAAAACTGTTACAGTTTTGCCGGACTCAGAAAGGTTAGCCCGCTCCAGGCCACTTTTTGTCTCATCGGGGACCCTGACTATTGTACACTTGTATATTTTAGAGGTATTGATGTTTGTCAAAATTAATTTAAATATGTTTTCTGTCAGAGAAAAAATACATGATCATGTAATCAGATTTAGGAATAAATTAGATCAACAAAGGTTTAGGTTAAGTAAATCAATGAATTATCATGTTAATTTAGGTGTAACATTTTTCAACAAGTTACCATTGACTTTTCAGAGTTTGCTTAAAAAAGCATTAAATAGATTGTATAATTGGTTACAATTGAACCCATTTTATACATTGGATGAATTTTTTAATATTAAAATAGAGTCTTCAAGCCTAGCCCAATTTTAGATTTTAAACATTACATGGTTTTTTGTGATGTTAGCTCAATTTAATGTTGCTTGTTTATCAATGTGAATCATATACAACTGTTTATTGAAAAAATTTGTATATTTTGTTGAATGTCTAATAAATGTCTTATTATTTGTCTTATTTGCTTGTATGTATAATTTCGCAAAGTACTTGAAAACGGCTTTGACAACAGCCTTTAAATGTTGGAAATAATTTATTTCTAGCCTAAAAACGTAATTGACGACCACCAACATCTAAGGCAAATTCGCATTTCACTATACAACTCAATATAACAATATACAAATTTAACATTTGCCACATGGGCTGCTAAGTAGTTATGTTGGTTGAACAAAATAATAAGTAAAAAGAAAAACAAAAGACTTGTAACATATTGTGTTTATAATAAGCCAACCACAGTATACTACAATTTACAGTACAAAGGGGGAAACATCATGTTACTATTGAGCAAAGATTACACTAATTTATCTATATAGGGGATATTTTCCCTTATATATTGATTAATTTTCAGTATAATCTTTGCTCAATAGTAATAATTGAAGTTCCTCTATATGAGGTTTTTGCCATTGACTGTAAAATAAAATAATTTGTTGTGGATTGTCAGGTTAAATTTTCCATCATAATAAATGGAAATTCCACTTGAAGTCCGAAATTAGTTGTAAATAAGACTTGATATTGTGAAATCCGTGGATAAGTTAAAGTCGTATTGTGGTTAACCTGATAATAATAAAACACAGCTGGCCTAAAGATATTGCTTTAGCAACACTTAAGTTGCCTTTATATTGCTTTTACAATCGAAATCAACTATACCGAGCTATGGCTCGGTCCCCCGGTACTTTATATTTATGTAAGCAACCCCTCCAAAACCCAAGACAGAAGACAACTGTGTAAGTTAACCGTTTGAGACATCAAAACAACAAAACTGTTTTATGAATTGCTATGTCCGTTACCTTCAAATGTTAACACAAAACCATCATAAACCAGAGAAGCACTCCTTATACGGTATATCATTACACATTGGTATTGGATGAAATTAAAAGCAAGTTGTATGTACATCAGTATACATCACATGCCTACATTTATCTTCTTGCTCAAACGGAAGCTACATATTTAGTATTAGTATCATAACCTATAACATCCTCTCTTTGAGGGAATTAATAATTTCATTTAGATGTGATATTAAGCTTTAACTGAAGCCATTTGAATGACTCGGGTAGGCTGATAAAAGGCATTCGCAGAGTAAAATCCTAAAGAGCTAACTGTGGAATGTAATCCTTTTCAACTCATTTCAAAATGTTCAGCACGAATTGACCATATGAATATTTCCAACTGTAAAAGTGAGAAGGAAATGGATTTATTGGTAAACGAATTCAAGTCTAACGGACAATGTGAGATTATAAAATATTGGCCGCTTAGTTTATTCACATGTTTAAATAATCCAGTGAATAGAGGTCTTACCATGAGACCTACGGTATAGCTACTTCCCTATAGGGAAATTTGCTAAAATGGGGAGGTTAACTAACAAACGGCCCGGTAGCTTTATTCTTTTTATATGTTGTCTTGGATGGTAAGTAGATATTTAAAATGCAAAATGTGCAATTTTCTCCCTCTGCGCTCACCGCCATTTTAGGAAAATCGGGGGGGGGGGGATCGGTACTTTCTTGAAATATTCGCCTATCACAGTTTTGGTGCATTTTAGCAAAAAAGAAGATATAGTCAATGTTGTAGACAATTAAATTACCTGTAATATAATTTGTTATTTTGTTTCTACGATTTATGGCTAAGAAAATATTCACTTAAGAAAAATGGTCATAATTATGATTTTATCCAAATTCTACCAAAATTCTAACTTAAGATCGCTATCATTCAGTAATGGCCTACCGTACTTTTCATGGCAAGACCTGGGCCCTGGACCAAATTTACTTTTTCATTTTGATGTTCCCAGAGGCCAAAAACACTATTATAAATGAGGTTTACCTTGTACTGTTTGTAAAAAACTGAACACTGTGAACAGTCTTTGTCTACGAATAAATACGAATGGTTATCACGTGAAAAAAGTTTTGAGGAATATCGTTTTGTATATGATGTTAAGTTTGCAAACCTTTTCACAATTTCGTCAGGTAAATCAATATTTTTTACGCCATGTAAATAAATAAATAAGGTAAACACTTATTTCCGCCGGACTAGTTGCGTAAGATATACATAAAAGTAATGCATGTTTGTCTACATAATGTAAATGTTTTACATATACGTAAAGTTTAAAATGTAAAACATGAAACAATAGCAATCAAGCAAACATTTACAGCTATAACCATTACTTTAGGCTGAAGTTTAGGCCGAAGTTTATACTTTTTCACATTTAAAAATACTTTAAATCTGATCATCTACCATGGAATGTCCCAAAAATATTACGTGATATCTCGTCAAGTAAAATCCGTCAAAATATGTAATTAACATCGTATAGTTCTGGTGTTAGTTATAGGTGTCGTATAGCTCGACAGAGCAATCAGTTAAACACTGCATATGTTTGAATATCCATGTAGTCATGTATTGGGATATGTCCGTAGTACATCTGCAGACTGAGTTATGTCGTACTACAACATACGATTTCAAACAAATAAATTGACGTACATTACTCAGCCAACTGCAGATGTTTGAATAGTCATGTAGTCATGTATTGAGATATGTCCGTAGTACATCTGCAGACTGAGTTATGTCGTACTACAACATACAATGTCAAACAAATAAATTGACGTACATTACTCAGCCAACTGCAGATGTTTGAATAGTCATGTAGTCATGTATTGGGATATGTCCGTAGTACATCTGCAGACTGAGTTATGTCATACTACAACATACAATTCAAACAAATAAATTGACGTGCATTACTCAGCCAACTGCAGATGTTTAAATATCAATGTAGTCATGAATTGAGATATATCCGTAGTACATCTGCAGACTGAATTATGTCGTACTACAACATA